CACTCCATACTTTATTCTGCAGCTGCCCTTGGAACAATAGAACTTTCTTCTCTAGCATGGGTGTAACTCTGGAGCATTTCCTCAGCTGCACCCTGCTCTGCCGAACTGTCTGGAGAGGGCAAGCAGCAAGAATCTCCTGCTTCAGCTGCTGGCCGTGGCTCTGCTTTAATGTGCCATCTCTCTGAGACCTGGAAGTCTCCAGAACTGCAAATGCTTTTCTTCTGTCGTAGTTCTGTCTTATCCTAGGAGAAAAAACACAAGTGAAGTGTTGGGATGGTGGGGAAGCTCTCTGCCTATGGAGACTGCATTGCATCCCTCTGCCCTGAGGCTGCTTGACCCCACCTGGCAGATGCAGGGACCTGCACCAGGCTGGGCCCAGCTGCCCAGGTTAGTGTAGTGTCCTTTGGTGAGCTTTTACATTAAGTTACTTTAATGGGAGACGATCTTCTTCCAGTCTGGGAGGAGAAGAATCTTTGTGTTGCACCAGAGCAGCCGGGGGTTTGTCAGAGTTGTTTTTTCAAAGGCAGGTTATGGTTCTCCATGGATGTGAGGTGACCTAATGCCTTAAGCTTGTTGGGGTTGTACAGGAACACGACTGACTGCACACTCATTTCTAGAATCAAGAAGCTGGATCGCCTCTTGGATTGGATGCCTTTGTCATGTTGCCATCCTGCCTCCTTTCCAAAACTATCTTTGTTTTGGCACAGACAGGGCTGCTGTCACTACAGGATCTTTTAGTTTGGTCTTCTAAAACTCTAGAGAGTTTTTTTTTTTTTGTCTTCACACTGCTTACAGCCCCTATGAGAACAACATTATGGTTTTCCTTTATTTAGATCTTTGATATAACAAACTATGGTGAAGTAACACATTACTGTGTGTCAGTTGTTCAGTAGAAACTGTGTCTGTATAGAGACAAGACTTATTTTAAATCTCAAGTCTTTGATCTCTATATCTGAAGCCAAAGAACAGTAATTTTAAGGCAGGCTTTCAGGATTTTTAGCCAAATTATTGCATGCTAGCAGGGACCCTCCATTTGCTGTCAAAATTCACTTTGCTAAAACACGTCTGTTTCTGAGGCAGAATGTTCTTTATTCCAATGCTTGCAGAGCTGCTTCCTGGAGCTCTAAATGTGTCCTTACTCCTCAGTATTAAGTGTTTGTGCCATTTTCAGTGCAGAAGACAGCCGAGCATGCTTTGGGAGCATCCGTAAAGGGTTGTGTATACATAGAAGCACTTAAGGGAAAGCAGAAGTCCTCTGCAATCTCTGTGCACGCTCTCCTTGCATTCTGATTTCATCCCTCGTACACAGCCTGTGGTACTGTAGACTTGCACAGCTGAAAGGAAGTAGCTAAATAAGGTACAAGAGTCCTTTTACACTGTTGACCTAAAACATGGGGGGAGATGAGGACATGCATGTTTTATGGCTGTGCTAGGGCCAAAATCTGGACAAGTTCAAGTGTTTCTGTTGGAAAGATCATTTGGACAGCGCAGCTGTGCTGCAGCATGCTCAGAGTTGTGTGGGGGAAATACCACACCAGGATTTTTTTCCTTTTTGACAGAGTTTATGTTGATCATATTTACTTCTGCAAATCATTACTCCATTCTAATTTCTTGTGGAGCCTGAAACTGTAGTATCGTACTAATCAGTAGGTGAAGAAACCAGGTTTTATATCTTCATGAAACCTTGCATGTGAAGTTAGGCCTCTTTGAGTAAAAACCCCACACTGTTCTTCAGCAGTGGTTTTGCTTTGCTGGTTTGATTGCTTTGGTTTTACTGCTATGACTTGAAGAATACCAGAGGAGTGTCCAAGCGCTCTCACTCACGAGAGAGCACTGCTTAGCTTGGGATGCCTATGGAACCAGTTCCTGCCATTATGTGCCTGGCCCTATTCTTCCATCAAAATCCATGCCCTGCTTCTGGTAACAGCACCTAAATTGTTGGCATTCTGTCAGGCAAACTGTGTGAAGGCTTTGGAAACAAAAGTATCCAAACTCAGCAGCTGCTGCACAGAGTTGGGCCAGCCCTATGGAGGAGGCAGGGAAGAGGCACAACAACGGTTGGTGGCAGGAGCCTCTGTAGTTGCTCGCCTTTAAGAATCAGCCTCGAGCCACTTGGTTATGTTTCAAGTGTTGTTCTTTGGGTAATGTGGTTGTTGCAGATGATGGAAGAATCAGCAGCTGTTGCATTTTGAACGTGTGGTGCCATTGTTCCACCAGCTTCCATTTCAGTCGCCTCCCTGCCATGGTCTAAAATGGAAGGATGCTCTGGAGGAGCGGGGGGCAGGGGGGCAGAGCAGGGGTGGTGTGCCGCCCAAGGCTGATGTTACTCTGTAGTTCTCACATCCTGAGTGTGCTTGTCAGATCCATGCAAAGCTCTGGATCTGGGGGAGGGGAAAAGTGTCAAGCCCCCACACATCTCAGCAGTGGTTTTCAGCAAGTGGCTCCAGGCTCCTCTCTTCTTGCATCACCACTTCGGTGCTGTCTGTGCAGGGACAGCTTGTAGTGTATTCCAGAGCACTGCGTCCCTCTGTGAGCCGACCACAAGAGATGAACGACTGGCCTGGAGCTGCATTTTGGCAGGATATGAGGCCCATGGTTATTGTTTTTGTACATGTTATTGCTACTATGTTTGTGAGTTTGGTGGGGGAGAGCAGAGGAGGGGGAAAGTGCAGAAGGAGATGTGCTGGGCTTCCCCTTAACTGTCTCCATGTAAAGCTTGGAAAGATCCTCTGGCATACATTCCTCCAAGCATCTGAGCTTTTGTATCTCCGTATAACATTCAGCCTTGCACTCTCTGTTGTGTCATGCTGGATTAAATCCATGTCTAAACTACTCATTCCCTTCATGAGGACTGGGATGTAAATGTCCTGTTATTGCAGAGCAAATAGAATGAAAACTTCTGCAATCTTGCTTTGTGTCCCTCATGAGGTCTCCTACACATGGAAGTAAGATAGTGCTCTGATCTTGCCTTGTTGATTACAGCAGCTTTCAAAAATCCTCTCTGAAGGGGAATCAGGAGCCTTATGGGCTGACAAATATCATTCATACTGCCCTTTTCTAAACAGAAGGGAAAGAAGTGGCTCGAGAGTTCTGGATTTGAGTAAGACTTTAAAATGTACCATGTGAGGCTGCACACTGTGCAGGGAATAGCAGAGGTGTTTGCCCAGAATGCAGAGCAGTCTCCCAGCAAGGGGCAGCACTGCTTCTGGAGAGCAGCTGCCTTCTGCAGAGAGTACTCCTTCATTTTCAAAATGTGATCTGGTGTGGCTGTACTGCAGAGCAGAATGGATGCTGTGGGAACACCTGGATCCGTTTGGTTCTGCCAATCCTGCCAGCTGAAATCACACCTCTAGTTCCAGGTGCCCACTTGATGTAAGAGTGTCAAGTGGCTTTAGCTGCATTCCACCACAGATGTTGTGCTGCTGGACTGCATCTTCCACTGAGCTGAACACCACACAGATTGATAAATTTCCGTTTAGCATAATTATATTGGCTAAAATAATATGGGAAAGGGGAATAAATTCCTCTGTGAGGTGGAAAAGGTGCTGGATTCAAATTGGAGTCATGTTATTAGGGGCAAAGGTGCAAAATCAGGATTGTGTCGTTAGAACAGCATGCAGAGAGCTCCCTGAATAGAAAAAAAAATTTAAGAAATCAGTAGTGTTTGATGATGTAGGGTTTTGTGTGGTCCTGTCTTTGATGTGGTAAAGTACAAAGATGGTAAATGAGAGAGAAGGAAAAGCTAGAGTGTTCAGCAAATGTTCTTAGGCATAGGCTTGAGGGAGATGGGGCTGTTTTCCAGGATGGTGGAATGTCTTGCCTGAGAGAAGCATGCATGGAATGTGAAGCATTCATGGAAGGTGAGGGACTGAAGCAGTAGGAACCAGATACATACCTGGGTTGAGATGTGCATCTTTAGTAGGAGGAAAGATGAGCTGTTCAGCAGTACAACTAGGTGGCTAAAATGGCACAAATCACATGCAGATCAGCCCTTGTCTCACTCCAAACCAGCCAAAAGAGCAAGAGGAGGAGGGAGCCAAGCTCTCTCACTGCTTATGCCTATGTAGGATCATCTCTGCCCATGACCATCTGGGAAGTACTGTTTTGGATTGTGGTGGCCTTGACATGTTGAGAGTGAGGTTGTGACTTTAGGTTGTTCCTCAGCACTCCAGTTCTTGGAGATAGTTTCAAGATCAGGGATGGATCTTGAGTTGGTCTTAAATTCTGTGGTGCTCTCACTGAACTTTACTTTGGGACATAATATTTCATAATATGTGGGTAACTGGAGTACACAGTTAAATCAGTGGGTCCCTTCTGCAGTGACAGAGATGACAGCTTTCCAAGGACTGAGAAGAGTAAAGGCTCTGTAGGTTCTTGAATCTAAACTTAAAGCTCCCACACCCTCTTATTATGTGTGCAGTGACATCTATATCCAAATGAGAAAGCTGGAGTTCTCATTCCTGCTCAGCTGGACTTTTTCATAATGCAAGGGATTGGACTTCAAAAAGTAAGCAGGTGTTGAAAGAAAAATAGCAGAGGCAAAGGAATTGTGTTAGTTCTTTCTGAAATATTGCCCAATTAAAATGCTGGCTATTCGTGTAAAATACATCTGCAGCAGAGTACTTGGAAATGATTTATCAACACTTACTTTGGAGAGTGCTGCCTCTAAGGTAGCACAAAATGTGAAACTGGCAGTGGAAAGTCACTATGACTTAGAAAAAACAAACAGCAAAGCAGTTATTTCTTGCCCTAAGAAAGGGTGTGACTGTCACTGGGTTGTGTAATGGAAAGTGGGAACACTACTATTAACATTCATGGTAAACTACACAGTTAATCATCATCCAACTAGTCCCTGGTTTCTTTCTTTTTCATTCTGAGGTAGAGGGGTGGTGGTCAGAGGGCTTGTCATTGGAGGGAAAGGGAAATGGATTATTTAATGTGGCTTTCTTTATGACAAGGCACTAACATGACTCCCGTCTGTATTTAAATGCTGTCCCCAGGTTACGACTATGGCTATGTCTGCGTGGAGTTTTCACTCTTGGAAGAGGCCATCGGATGCATGGAAGCCAACCAGGTTGCTTTACAATTCGGTCAATGCTGCTAGAAGATTTTTAATTTTTTTTTTGGTGGGGTGGTGGAAAGCCAATAAGGTTTTTGTGAAGGAAGATGTGTTCTTGTATAATACACAACACCACAGTTTAAATGTTGTTGTTACCAGAATCTTGTATCAGGCTTAGAAATGCCAGTGGGAAGGAGCTGCTGGACACTAAGTGGTCTGTCCTCCTCCCTGGTGTGTGCCAACACACTGACTGCACTCAGAGGCTGGTGGCTGACAGACTCCTGCTGCAGGTTTTGGCCCTGCTGTTTCTGTACTCACTGAATGCAGCTGGGAAGAGCTGCACTGGCAGTAAATGCTTCCCCTGGATGTTTGTGCACACGCACATGCACATGTGACTGTAGGTGCATACCCTCATGTGCAGCTCTGAGTCAGCTGTGACTTGAGTGCTCCACTTTGCCATATACCTTGTGTGTGGGAGAGATGCTTAACTATGCATTTCCCTCATATCCATCCTGTCCTTTGGCAACCTGGAGCTGCAGACACAAGAACTACCCTTACGTGCAGTTGAGCCTGGTAAACCTGAACATTTCCAGCCCTTAAAAGGAGAAAATGAAATCTCCAGTAACTATTCAAAAGGGGCCTTTACTCTGACGTGGTATTTGAAGCTAGAGCTGTTGTGCCCATACGAGAGCAGGATGCATAAAATTTTTTAGATAAAACATAGATTCCCATCTCATACTGCCCTCCTTGTGCCTTGGATCTGCAAATGATGGATCCCTCACCAGAGCCAGCTTCTGATCCCCCTTCCTTCACCACATCCCTTAAGTCTCCTCTTCGCTGCTTTCTTCCTCCTAATTTGCCTGAGTAATAATCCATATCAATTATCTTAAGCCTTTTTACCTGAATCCCGGGTCTTGCCGTCATGGGAGGTGAGTTATGAGTCAGATTCAGAGCTGTGCATCTGCAAAAACGTACTTACAGTTAATGAGTCTTCACAGCTGGGGTTTCAAAGGTCCCACTAAGCACTCGCATTTGCCTCTATTTTCAGTTACAGAGGTATTGCAACTTACAAAAATGTTGTACAGAAATAATCCTGTTGCTGGGAAAGAGCCTGGCACATTCCCACCAAAACGGTGGTGAGGAGCAGAGAGAGAAAAGACTCCAGAATTAATTATTACTTTTACCATCAGGGAAAAATTTTATTTCCCCTTCAGTGTTTCTACAATTCCCAATTTATTTTGTTGTCACTGGGGAATCTATAATTATAGATGACACTCCTTTTAACCAAGTGCCTCTCTGTATTCTCTCCACCATTCTGCTCACATGAAATAATGTCTTCCTATGCAAGAGCAATTCCCAAGTACCAGGGAATTTGGGAATACCTCTTTTTCTGATTGTTGATGACTGCTCTGCCCTTTCTCTGATTTGGAGTATATAGAATTGGGCAGGTGTTTTAACTTGATCAGGTTTGGTCCATTGCTACAGCCGAGAGCCTGTAGGCACCAATCCTTAAACTGAATTGGGTGCCTGCCCAGTAAATCACTGCACACACGTGCATGGGAAGAAGTTCTGGCTGGTGTTCCACTGTTGCTTAACTGACCTCCCTAGCATCAATTACAGCAGTGATTTAGGCTGGGAAGTGCTTTCCTGTGCTTCCCTTCCCTATTAGTGACAGGAGGTGAGGTCCCAGCCATACACACCTGGGACGTGCAAAAAACAGACAGGGTGTGAAAGTCTTCCAGTTTTCTTCCTGCTGTACCTGGCTCTGTGTGTGTGCAGAGGAAAGCTGGAAGATGGAGTGCTTGGAAGGGATCATCTCTCAAGCCTCCATATGCCAATCTTCATCGTGTTTTAGTAGACCTACAGTAGCTAGTAATTAGAGAAGTTAGAAATGTGGGGTTTGGGTTGACCCAAGCTGCATGCATTTGGTCAGGAGAGCTGTAACTTCTGGATTGCCCCACATAGGTTAACTTGTCTAATCTGTCTAATGTTTTGATTGAACACGGAAAAAAAGCCCTTCTAGTTATGTTAAAAAAAAAAAAGGAAATAGGTGACTTTAAAATTCTCAGTAAGAGACAAATAAAGATCTTCAGAAAGGGAGTTATGAATTGTCCCTAGAGAATTGATATTCCACTTCAATGACTTCCAGGGTAGAGTTGCAAGATCATTTCCTTAGACTGAAAGTCTGCATTTTTGCAAGCTGCAAAACCAAAAACCTGTGTTAGCTAAGACACAGATTCTTTGATAGTTCAGTTATTTTCAGAAGGTTATCAACTGTCCCTGTCATATTCAGTCACTTGTGAGAGCATAAATAGCAAGTGACATGCTGGTCCCTCACTAGTCAACCTGCCTCTTTCTCAGGCATCTGCAGGCTGGGAATAAATAGCTTGTGCAAAACCAGCATTTTCGATGCTGTTTAATGCCTGTTGAACTGCCCCTGCCTGAAGAATAATTTGCTTCCTCCCTATATTGTATCACTCTGATATTTTTTCTTTTACTTGACACACAACAGCACCCACTTAAGATCATTGCCAGACTTGTAAACTACAGATTTACCAGGTTCAACTCCTTCCATTCAGTAAATCTTAGCATGTATGTGTGACTGCTGAGATTTGAGGGGGCTTTTCTGTTACATATATTGTGATAAGGAAACATCCATATTCTGTGTTGCCCTAATTTTGCAGGAGAGTTTCCTTCCATCTATATTAACTGTCACAGCTAAAGTAATGACAACAGGCCCCTTATTAATTGCTTTGACTTGTTGATTGTTGCATTGGCAACTTACTCCAGTGCCAAGGTGCCACCTGACATGCATGAGCAGGGTTGCTGTTATTCCCAGTGTGGAGATGCTGGGCACAGGGCTGCATGAGTGAGGTGCCATGTGCTGGCTCTCCCCCTGGCTTTGTGGGGCACATGAGCTGTTGATTTATTGTGCAGAGCCTAGATCCAGCCCTTGTAGCAGCCTCATGGTTGGTGATGCTCATGGTGGCCTTTTGTTTCATGGTGGCCTTTTGTTTCATGGTGGCTGTCACTTGAATTGTGTGAAACCTCTTTTCTGACTGCCGTGAGGTGCTTTTCTTTTGGGGAGAAAGTTGTTTTGAATGACAAATGAGGTTTCTGTCTGTTAAGTCTCATGATTTCTCCTAAATAATTTTCCCTCCCTTATTCTCATTTTTGAAAGGGTGTGGTGTGACATTTGGTGTTTCTTTGGCATTGCCCCTGATGTGGTAGTGTTCCTGTCTGAGGGCACCAGGTTGGCTTCTTGGAAGCAGCTTTGGGAATACATCCCATGGCTGCTCTTGTCCATAGGCATGGGGTCTTTTTGCATTCCTCCTTAATGTGTAGAAAAGAACAAACATAAACAAGCATGTTACTTGGTGTGAGAAAATCAGGTGGGAAATGAAGTGCCCTTTGTGTACTGCTATGTATCATAAAGGCAGGAGGTGGAGAAATGGAAGGAGCCTGTCTGTGCTGCTTGAATATTTTACTGTTTTCACTGAGATGAAGCTGGTTTTTATACATGTGGAAGCAAAAGGGTTTTTTTTGAGCTCAGGAGCAAATGTCTTGTCTCAACTGATTTTGTAGTATTGTCTCCAAATCTGCTCAGGCTTCAAACTTAGCAACACTACCTGCATGAGTATTTTGTAGCTTTTGTTGCTAGCAACTGACAACTTTGTAATCCTTTCCCCCTATTTCTTAAGAAAGAGAGCAAGAGGAGAGCTATAGCATGAACTTTTAAAAATGCATACACTGTACATTATTGTGCAGGTCTCCAGGCAGGTACTGGAGTGGTTGTGTGAGACTTGCTCTGGAGCACAGAGCACAGAGGCTGGCACTGCAGTGCTCTCCTGTTTCAGCTTGCTGAGCACACCAATGTCTCCACTCCCTGCTTGTTTTTTACTGGAGAGGGTAAGAGGGATTCTTACTGGATTTTGTGGGTGCTCACTTGAGCATGTCCCTCTCCCGTGCAGCTAGAAACATCAGCTGTGTGTTTCTCCTGCTCTGAGCCTGTATTCTCCTGTATCCATTCACTGCAGGGCCTTTCTGTATTCTGTGTGAACAGAGCTTCTGGTGCAGATCAGATTTCACAGGCTTTTCACTGTAGCTGTTTTGGTGTTAAAATCCACAAGATGCTGCGATAAGCAGGCAAAGCTTAGGACTTTCTGTCCTGAAAACATTTGCAGTAACAAGCCACAACTCTGTGTGGCTTCCCAATTAAATAAAGGAGGAGCATGTGCTTATCCTGAGAATGGAACTTCTCCTGTGACCTGTAGCCTTGGAGTATTTATTGAAGCCTGTGGTACAGGGAGTGTGTTGCAATTTGTAAGAGAAAATGTGTGTCCAAGCATCAAAATGCTTTCCTTTTGGTAGAATGTGCCTAATTGTGGAGTCTGGAATTTTTTTTCCTAGAATCTGCCAGATTCCCCCTATAATGGAAGATGACACCTGCCTCAAATGCATTTTCACGGGCTGTCTGGTATCCGTCATTTATTCACTTGACAATGTTACTCCGTCTCTGTAGCTTTAACCTGCAGTTGAGGTGGTGGTGGCATGACCACAAATATACTGAAATCCATTTGTGTGTTGGGGTAAGGGTGCTGGAGATGGCCTTGATTTTGATGTCTTCCTTGGATCCACAGCTGGCGTTTTCTGCTTTTCTTGTTGCATATTAGGTGTGTGGATTTTGCTCAGGTCGTATGATTAGCACACCTCCTTTTCCCCTGCTCTCCCTCACCCCCATAAAGCCTGTCCTGCTTTTGACTGTGTGGGTTTCTAGAATCTGTTTTTGGAGTCTTCCACTTTGAATGAGGGAAAGGCTTGTAAACCTAGGCAGTTTCTTCTGTAAACATCCTAATGGTTTGGGAAACATGCACATTGTGGAGGAATTTTTATGAGCCACCTGACCTATGGAAAGTTCTCTCCACAGGCTAGTGGATGAGTGGATTTCCAGGCAGCAAAGCTGATTTGGGTTTTTTTTGTATCTGATTCAGTGTGTGTGACCTTGTCACGAGTTC